TCTTGTCCTGATTCTACTGCAACATGAACTGCTCATCAAAATTGATCTCTGCTGATAACCATCTTTTTTGCAATATGATCCGAAAACTTGTATCCTTTTACACTTTTCTTTTAGCCCAGAAAAATACACTTCTTGGATTTTGAATCAAGTTTTGATCTTTCATATATATGCACATAAACAGGACAATCAAAAATTCGTAAATAATCGAAATTAACAGAATTACCTGTCCATACCTCTTCTGCAAAATTGCCACCCAATGATGCCCGAGGAGATCTATTACTGAGATAACATGTCATATTTATGGCCTATGCCCAGAAACTCTTAGGACGCCCTGCATCCAGTCTCAAGCATCTTGCCCTTTTAGTTAAAAACATGTTCATCATTTCTGCCACACCATTATGTTGTGGTGTCTTGCACACTGAAAAATGTTTCTGAATCTCATGCTCATCACAGAACTTCTGAAACTGTGAATCTGTGTACACTGTGTCTTTATCAGATCTCAAATATTTAATCTTTCTGTCAGTTTGGTTCTCCACCTCAGCTTTTCACAACTTGAATTTAGAGAAAACTTCAGATTTCTGTTTCAAGAAATACACTCAAACTTTCCTGGAAAAAATATCAATAAATGTAATAAAATACTGAGATCCTCACAATGATGATTCCCTGGAAGGACCCCATACATCATTATGCATATAATCAAGAATCCCTTCAATTTTGTGTTTTCCAGTCATAAAACTAACTATAATCTGTTTTTCAAGAACACAAAACTTACAAAGATCGAACTTGCAGCTTTTAACACCATGCAACAAGTTTCTTCTATACAATTTTGTCATCCTACGTTCACTAAGATGACCCAGACGCATATGTCATAAATTTTTACTATCATCATCTGACTCCACAAAATGAAATCTACCTACAACTGTACTCCCTAACAGTTTGTAGATATTACTTGCAATTAACTTTCTTTTCATCATAGTTAGTACACCTTTAACAATTCTAATGATTTCACTATCCTCATCTGTTTTAAGAATAAAACCATTTCTATATAAAGTGCCCATGAAAATCAAATTCTTCTTCAGATTTGGAATATGTCTGACATCACATAAATGTTCTAACAGTGTCATCATACATCTGAATTCTGACTTCACCAATACCAACAATATTGCAATATCTATCATCACCTAGATGAACTGAGTCAGAATTAGTTAACATATATGAAGTAAACCACTCTATGTTAGATGTTATGTGATAATAATACCCTGAATCAATAATCCATGCATCCATGAACTGAATTAATTAAATAAAAAACATATCACTATCAATGCAATCTGAATTGTCACTCTGTACCATATTTACAAACTTCGATGATGCATCACCTTTCTCTCCAGCCTGCTTCTTGAACTTTGGACAATTCCTCTTCCTATGACTTGACTCCTTGCACTTGTAGCAATGAATCGTTCTTTCGTCTTTAGACTTTGATTTGAAATTTCACCTTCAAGAACTTTCCTTCTCTTTCTTACTTCCACGATCTTGATTACCCTTAACATATAAACTGTCGCTATGAGAGCTTTCCCCTGCATTCTGCTTCCGTTGGTTGTGAGCCAACAATGCTGTAGTAATCTTATCAACTTTGATAGTTTCTTTCTCATATGTCAGAGTAGTCACCAGATGTTCATAAGAAGAAGACAATGAACACAATAAAATCATTGCTCGGTATTCATCCTCAATACTCACATCAAGTCATGATAAATCTATGATTATTTGATTGAAGTCATTCACATACTACGCCAGATTAGAACCTTCTAGCAGCTCATACCGCTTTTGCTTCAGATACAATTTATTCATCAGAGATTTAGACAAACTGAGTTTTCAATTTCTTCAACACCTCTCCTGAAAATTTCAAATTCATCACGTGATACATAACCTCATCTGTCAGACATAAATGTATGGTTGCTACCGTTCGTTGTTGCAATTCTTCCAAATCTTCATCATCCATGGCATCTAATTTCGTTGCCCGCAAAGCCTTCAAGATTCACAGTTGTGCCAACAAATCTTTTACCCTTGTTTGCCACAATCTAAAGTTACCAGTTTCATTGAACTTCACCACCTCGAATTTTGGACTAGAAATTTCCATATGAAATTACTCATGCCACGAACTGTGGCGATTTGCGACTCACAGAAGACGACCTCCCGAAAGTCTACTGCCGCCAATCGCACGACAGAGAGGTTCGACTCCCTTTGCTATTGCGAAGAAGCCCTGTAGCAGACTTGCACCAAATGCCTCCTCTGCCGCGATTTGCCTGCTGCTCAAAGAATCCTCAGCAAGCCCGGACTCTTCGTCTGGTCCAAAACTATCGCGAACCCTTGAATTCGCCGAAGCCAAACCTCCTCTGTCGTGCGAAGCTCTCCTGCTCGCCGAATCTGTTGCGATTCGACTGGTTGCGTCGCCGAACACGGTCATGAGTCCCTCGGCTGGTCACGATCCTCTACTAGCAAACTTCATTTGGGTCACGGAAGAACCCCAATGCCGCGATTTGTGAACTACTTGTCTTCATCTGCCGAATTGCCTATTTTGAACCCTAGCCAAAGATCTCTTTTTCTTGCGCCAAAATTTTCTACCCTAGAACCTCGCTCTGATACCACTTGTTGAGAAATTAGGGCGAAGAAGAAACAAGAATCAACACAAATCCAGAAGAACACACAGAGATTTAACGAGGTTCGACAAAGATGTCTACGTCCTCGGGAGCAGAGCGCGGACTTTCTTTCAACTCAAGAAAAATGTTACAAAATACATGATATAATAACCTAGGAATACAAACAAGAATATATATAAACCTAGAGAAAACCCTGTAGTACAATATGTAATTCCCAAATTACCTCTATATCGTACCGCGTGGCATTGCCCTCGCACCCCCAACCCACATAGCAAAACTCCGTCAATTGGACAAGTTCTTTCGCTTCGTTCCAGCATCTGTCCCTTATATGGTATATGAGTCATACCTAATAGGTTCTCCATGATAGTAATAAGGGTTTTCTCCATAGATGACAGGTTTTCTTCCATGTAAAACCAATTCGAGAGTTTTAAGGAGATAATAAGGAAGCTTATTTAGATACAATCCAAAACCCTGACCAAGGGATGACCGAAGATTTCGTGGCCAAATCAAAAGGGAAGGAGATCGAACGAGAGGAAAACGAGAAGGAAAGCATGCCGCATCAAGAACCCCCTCATAGGGCTCCGATTGAGAGTGGATAAGAGATTTCTGATGGAGGCGTTGGGCTGAAATATAGAGAAGAGGTTATGTAAGAAGTATGAAAGAGCATGGAAAAGAAAGGAGAGAAGCAGCGAGGGGATAAGACTATGATCAAAGGAGAGAGTTTTACCTCAATAAATGGGGGAAACAACAACGGGAGAAAAAATTGAGGTGGAGATGCTGGGGTTGGGAAGTTGAAGATGGCCATCTTCGAAGGGAAAAATGTGCATGGGTGGGTGTATCGAGTGAGACGATACTTCATGGAGAATGACCTACAAAGTAAGGAGAAAGTAATGGCGGCAAGGTTATATTTAGAGGGGAAAGCCCTAGCCTGATACATTGGAGAGAGGCTAGATACCTGACTAGTTCATGGGAGTAATTTAAAGATTATTTGTTAGAATGTTTCTGAGCTATTCGAGAAGGAGACCAATACAAACAATTTTTAGTCTTGACTTAGGAGAAGATTGTCATGGAATATAAAGAGAGATTCGAGCTATTATTGAGACATCGAGGGGGATTTCTGATGCGAGATTAGAGAGAAACTTCATGAATGGCCTAAAACCCGACATATGATCAACACTCAGACTATTGAGACCACAAAGAATAAGCGAGCTAGTAGAGCTCGTCTGGATTGTGGCAAACAAGAATCAGATGAAGAAGACCAATAAAAGCGACACCATAAGAGGATTCAACAAGAGTAGCTCACTGACAATGACACAGAGGTCCTAGAAATTGTCATTTCAGAACGAGACGCTGAAGAAGAGAAGTATGCGCATGAGGGCAACTTCAAGCGCCTCACAGAGGCAGAGGTTCAGGACGAGGGATTATATTTTCAATGTGATAAGAAGTATGCGCAAGGCCAGCAGTGTAAGGATCGCACACTCCAGGTCCTTTTAGTTTCTAATAGTGAGAAGATAGATAGTGAAAGTTAGATGAAGAAGCGGTGGAGGAACAACATCATTTTTTCCCAACTTGAAGACAATGTATTTTTTTGGAGGGAAGTATTGTTATGATGGCCTAAACTAAAAGCAATTTTGCTTTTATTAGCCTAAAAACAACTTGTTTTTTTTATTAATATTAGGTTTTGGTATAAATAGGCCCGAATAGAATTACGGTTAGGTAAGCATAAGATTGTTTGTTGTGTTAGGTTTAGGGTTTAGGATATATTTTCTATTTCTCGAATTGTAGGAATTGAGATTCTTGTATTCGTGTTGTTTTAGATTATTAAAGAAAAAATATTTACTTTGCCGTAATTTCTGTGGAAAACCATGCCGATTTCTGCGTCAACTCGCACCACAATACCACAAATTGGGGCTTTTAAAATTAGTTGGCTCAGATGTTTAATCATTTCACTTCCTTCATTCTAGAAGTTCAATAGAATAAATAAATGAAGATAATTATTAAGATTGTTCTTTTAACCATTAGAAGAATGAATAAAGATTTTGGAGCTCTGTTGTTTGCAAAGCACAATTTCTTATCAATTGAATAAATTACTAGAATCATATTAGTATAAGGTTGGTACATATTGATTCCAAGAAATCCTAATCCTTGCCTCACTTAATATCCTCTTCCCGTCTTTGTGCTGCCTCAACAACACAAATCTGAAGTTGCAAACTGTAAGACAACAATTTGAATGCAAGCGGATCGTTCTACTGTTTTCTTGCTGAGAAAAACGTTCTAAAATGCAAAATTCCATAAACTGTAAGACAACAATTTAAACGTTGTTTGCATTCATGATATTATAAATACCTGAACTAGACGGTTGGGATGATGCGCAACTTTGTCAATGGAAGTTTCTGCACTCAGCCAATCAACTGCTAAAAGCTTTAGAAGAGGATCTCCCCCCGGAACCTGTTTTACAATAGAATAGTTAGTACAAATGACAAGGTGAAGCTTAAATAACACAAATATGCTTTTACAAAGCAGACATGGTTTCCAACTCAAAGCATGGGAGTTACTTTGCCGTAGATGATCCAAGCAAGGCCTTACTTGTTGGGTAAGCATAACTCTAGGTGCCAACTTGGGTATAATTATGTATAAAATGCAAGTCTGATTAGAAGGGAAGACCAGAATCAGGTTCGCAACAATTTGCCTGATTCAAGCAATTTTGACCAGAGAAAGGTTAAAATTCCAGAAAAATATAACCGTTTTCAACATTAAAGGCACCTCTTATCTGATCAATGAAATGGTTAATTCCATTAATGTGGTTGGAACCAAGATGGATGTAGGTCTGTGGCACTGTAGGCTTGGCCATATGAGCGAGAAATGTATAAAATCCTTATTTTCAAAAAACAGCATTTAGGGTTTGAAATCAGTTGATCTGGATTTCTGTGAATACTGTATTTATGACAAATAGAAGAAAGTTTTTTCTCCAAAAGTGGATCAATGGTGAAATCAAAAGAAACTGGATTCGGTCCATATTGATGTAAGGGGTCCTACTCAAGTTCATTATATTAGAGTATCTAACTATTTTGTCACATTCATCGATGATCGCACGAGACAGGTGTAGATTTATTTCTAAAAGCAGAAATATGATGTATTTGAAACCTTTAAGAAATGAAAGACTATGGTAGAAAATGAGACAAGCTTGAAGCTGAAGCCCCTCAGATCAGATAATGGAGGTGAATACCGTTATTAGAAGTTCAAGCATTTATGTGATATATGCATGAGTTTACTGTCCCAAGGACACTACAGCAGAATGGTGTGGCTGATCGCATGAACAGAACAATCACGAAGTATACTAGGAGCATGAGATTGCATGCAAGCTTGCCGAAACAATTGTTAAGAGATTCAACAGAGAAACAACTCATACAAAGGTATTCTTCTTCTTTACACTATTTGTTACTAATTGATAGTGGTGAACCAAAGTGCTTTGAGGAGATCATTCAAGTTGAAGATTCAAGAGGGTAAGTGTGGAGGTTCTCACTATTTTGTCACAATCATTGATGATCGCACGAGACAGGTGTAGGTTTATTTCTGAAAGCATAAATCTGATGTATTTGAAGCCTTTAAGAAATGAAAGGCTATGGTAGAAAATGAGACAAGCTTGAAGCTGAAGGATCTCAGATCAGATAATGAAGGAGAATACCGTGATTAGATGTTCAAGAATTTATGTGATATAGGTATGAGTTTACTGTCCCAAGGACACCGCGGCAGAATGGTGCGGCTGAGCACATGAACAGAGCAATCGCGGAGCATGCTAGGAGTATGAGATTGCATGCAGGCTTGTCGAAACAGTTGTCAAGAGATTCAACAGAGTAAAACAACTCATACAAAGGTATTCTCCTTCTTTACACTATTTGTTATTAATTGATAATGGTGAACCAAAGTACTTTGAGGAGACCATTCAAGTTGAAGATTCAAGAGGGTGAGAGCTCGTTATGGATGAAGAAATGCAATCTTCGGAGTTAAATCAAATTGGAAATTTGATAGTATTACCAAATGACAAAAGAGTACTGCACAACAAGTAAGGCTACAGACTTGAAAGACGAGTCAAATGGTAACAAACGCTACAAGACAAGACTTATTGTGAAGGGCTTCCAACATAAGGAAGGAGTGATTATAGAGAGATCTCCCCAGTGGTGAAGATGACGACTGTCAAGGTTGTTCTGAGCCTGGTAGCAGTAGATCTACAATTGGAGCAGATAGATGTAGAGACAACTTTCTTACGTGGAGATCTAGAAGAGCTATTCATGGTGTAACCACAAGGTCATAAGGTTTCTAGGTAAAGAAGGTTTGGTCTGTAAATTGAAAAAAAGTCTCTATGGCTTTAAGCAGGCGCGGAGACAGTAGTACATGAGGTTTGACAGGTTTATATTAGAAAATGAGTACTTGAAGTGCCAGATAGAACATAGTTGTTTCATCAAACACTTTTGTGTTATATTCTGCTTCTCTTGTATGTAGACACATGTTGATTGTAGAGGCGAATGTGGAAAAAATCAGGGACTTGAATAATCAGTTATCAAGTGAGTTCAAAGTGAAAGATTTAATTCTAACCAGGAAGATCCTATGGATGAGAATCAGCAGGGACAAGTGTGCAAGAACACTGAAGTTGTCTCAGGTAGAGTATGTTCAAAATATACTACAGAGGTACGATATGAGTGAGGCAAAACCAGTTTGCACTACCTAAGGTAGTCACCTTAAATTATGCAAGGAGCTATCACTTAAATATGTAGAAGAGCAAGCACAGATGGAGAGAACTCCGTATCCTTCAACAGTTGAAAATTTGATATATGCGATGATTTGTACCAGACCAGATATTGCATATGCAATGAGAGTGATCAGTAAGAACATGGGCAATCCAGATAGACATTATTGGGAGGTGATAAAGTGGATTCTTACATATTTGAAGGGAACAATCTACAGTGAACTTTGCTATGAAAGTGCAAGGATCAGCCTAAAGGGATTCGTAGAATCAAATATGACAAAACATGTGGACACTATAAGTACAACGAGATATATCTTCACATTGGGAAACACAACTGTGAGTTGGGTTTCCAGGTTGCAGAAAATCATTGCACTTTATACTATGAAGTTTCATGGCAGAATTGAGTAAGCAACAGGAAATTGAAAAACTATACAGTGGCAGTATGAGTGTGATTCATCTTGCTAAAAACACTGTTTTTTATGTTAGGACGAAACAAATCTAACTCAGGTATCATTTCATTTGATCTCGTTTAGAAGATGGTCAGTTATTTCTTGAAAAAGATATATACAACTGAAAATCCTGTGAATATATTGACGAAGGTAATGATTGTCAAGAAACGGAAGTTGTAGTTGGCTTCAGTTGGGTTTCATGAAGGTTGAGATCGGGGTGAGCCACACCACGGTACGTGATCAGGATACATAACTATGAATGCAATTCAGATAGAGGTGCAAATACAGAGAATTGAACTTGGTGCTATCAGTCTCCAAGTAGGAGGTTGTTAGTTTTGAAGTCTGATTATAGCAACCATAAACAACAGGCTGGTTGGCTTCCATGCAATTAGTGCATCCGGCTCCAAGGCTCCGGGCTATGGGCGCCCATTGAGTGTTTCCAGACAGAGAAGGTGGAAATCCTGCGTCCAAACTGGGAGCTGGGGCGCCTCGAGCGGTTTTCACAAGAATTGCTATTTATGTCACAATTTTGGGCAACATATGTGCGGGCTTGGAGCGTGTCTTCCTGTTTGTTCATCAACAATTAGGGCTTGAAGATACATGTCTAACTAGAACTAGTCTCAAGATTCAAATATCAATTTGATCAATCAAATGAAATCTTTCTCAACACCAACCTTACAGTCATAAGGATTAGGACGATCATTAAACAAAGACCTCCCACGCGCTAATCAAGTGTCCTTTTCTTATCCATATATTCATCAATGGAGGCAGATGGTTCAACATGATCTTAAACAGTGTGGACGACTACACCATATTCTTTGTCATAGCAACAAAACACACTTTATCCAAGCGCCTATAAAAACCCCAAAGAAAGGAGCTCACGATTATTCTTAGACCAACTTATAATTTGAAGGAGACTTTGCTGAGTTTCTTTCAATCCTTTTTCCTGTCGTCAAGCTTATTTACTAACTTAGGCAGTAAAGTGTTTTCTGGGAGAACCATTCCTTGGGGGAAGGCATATCATTTTTTTAGCACTGCATGTGCAAGAGGCTTGCTAAAATAACAAAGAGTATCTTCAAAGAACTCAACCGATATTGAAAACCATTTCCATCACATAATTGTCTTCCTTGGCAAGAATTAAATGTTTATGGTTATTCTTTGGCAAAAAAGCATAATCACTTTCATTTATTTGTTTCCATTTAAATTCAGCTTATTTTCTTAGCAAGAAAACAAACATTCTCATGTACCTCGTTTAATCAATTAGATGCCAAGTTTTTTAATATATTAACCTACTCAAGATGTTCTTACTTCAACATAATGCATGCATGTGTAATTTGTTTATGGATGTGCATTCTTATCCAATTTCGTAAGAAAGAATTTCTCTTTCTTAAAGACTCTTATCAAACACCATTAATCGCACATTTCACAAATGCAATTACTCTTAAAACAGATCAAGATACTAACCATCTCTCTTCTCAGCAAAATTTTAACCTAAAAAAAATAAGCTTTATGTAGTTTATTGGATTCACATCTCCATTCGGCTCTTTGAGGAAAATTTTGCTAAAAAAAAGAGAGCTAAGAGATTAAAAAACACAACATAAGGGATCGTAAATATCTTGATTACTTCATTATTACTTTTTGCCTTGTTTGACAAATTCCATGTTCAATATTTAGTAAGAGGAATAAGTATTATTTCAAATTTCGATTTCCATTTATATTAAGGACCTTAATCGTTTATAAAAAAGAGCCCCTTGATGGCGCAGATACAATCTAAAGTGAATTAAAAATGTCTTCAAAACCGGATTCTCTCTTTTGGTCTGATGTCCCTTTCCTCCAACCAACTTTCAACTTTTTCCAAATTCTTCTTGAATTTATTCCAGATAGTACAACATCACGGTATATAATCCACAAACATGTACCAGAGCCTCACATTCATAATAGTTCAAAATTCATACGCATAAAGTGCAGTTTCTCAAATGCAGTCAAGTCATGAATTTTATTATTTGTTGTGCTACAATGCATCTCAAGCATTAGTTTCATTTCTAAAAATTCAATGTCAGAAACAAATGCATTCTCTTAATTTACTCAGATATACAAAGTTTAAGTCGTTTTCATCTTTCTATTAGCATAATTTGCTATTAGAATACAATCATCGATCAAATGGTACAAATTTAAGTTAGAAATTCAAACTTCTATAGAACTTGCCATCATCGATCTAAAAATTGCAAGGAAGAACCAATATAAAATTATCACCTCATTTCTCTAACTAAATCAAATAATAGAAGGCTAACTTCTGTTCATATTTTACATCTAGAGCATACAATGGCAATATTCAATTCATTTCTTGTACTGCTGATGTATAAGACAATAAAATAATAATAGAACTAAACTAAAAGAACGTGGATGGCAGTAAATTAATAGTAACCTTAGAGCAATCTTTTAAGTAAGACTTCCCCCTTATCATAAATCCTGGTTCACTAGGCTTAGTCCAGCAGTTGGTGTCAGCTTCCCCTTTCCCTTGAAGTAGTGAACCATGGAATTGACTTGGATTTATGGTAACAGGAGGATAGGTAGTGTCCAGTTCATTTATCTCCCCTGTTTCTGCATTCACAAGAACAGTTGACATTCGAAAAGAGAATTAAATGAGTTGCTTTAAGAAAATTACACTTCATCATGCTGAGTCCCTAAAGATAAGTGTCATTTGAGGTAAAATTATGGAAAAACACACTTATTTTTAGGATTACATACATATAAAAAAAAGGCCTCCAGTGAAAAACACACATATTGTTCCACGCACAAATTAAAAATACAGCACTATTCATTATCCAATGACCATACATAAACTTACAAATGTTTGGACAATAAGAAACCATGGTACATTTCTAATAATAGATTCTAGGTAAAAAAAAAGGCAAACGATTAATGGAACAATGCCAAATGGTCCCACGGTTTAGTTTCATTGGTGTAACTTCCTAGAAATCAACCATCTTGAGAATACTCCATACGAGTAGGGGTGTAAACGAGGCGAACACGAGCGAGCTCAGGCTCAGCTAGTGTTCGGCTCGTTTATATTTCGAGCTCAAAAAGTGTGTTCGTGTTCGGCTCATTTGCTTAAAGAGCCGAACACGAGCAGTTAAAAAGAGTCTTTTTGACAACCCTAACCACGTAGCCATAAGATGTTAAGGATTAGGGCAAGATATAAAACATTATTTGAATTTGATTTAATAATTTATTACTTTTCATTGATTATAAATCTTTGTAGCCTTGTAGTCAATTAAATTTTTTAAAAATTCTTCTCATCAAAGATCAATATATATATACGTATGTATATGTGTGTGTGTGTGTGTGTGTGTGTGTGTGTGTGTGTGTGTGTGTGTGTGTGTGTGTATATATATATATAATTGATTAGTAGTATTTCGAGCCAAAACGAACCGAACATGAACGAACAAATATTTGTTCGGCTCGTTAACTTAGTGAATGAGCCGAACACGAGCTTCTTAACAAGCCGAACACGAGCTGTTCGCGAACAACGAGCTGTTTTGACAACCCTAAATACGAGCATGTTTAAGTTTGAAAGTTTCTGAAAACAAGTGATCTCCTAGAGCCACCCAATGAACTTGTCCGGATCAATGTGAACATTAAATCCCGGCAAGTCAATCTTCACTTTAACATCCTGAACTCTCCTCTGATATTCTATGTGAAATCAGTGAGATATTGGTTCTTCATCACTAGAAATTTGGATTCACTCTCTTCTTGATCAGTGAGTCACCATTGTGACTATGGGTAATCTCAGTGGCTTCTCTCCTCTCGAAGGCAGTAAGTCTCTGTTGCAGTTGAAGGATTTTCTGTTGCATATCCGCCATGGTAAATTCCTGGAGACTTCTATGAGTGCTTTTCTTAAGCGTAAACCGGATATGGAGATGACGACTAGGGTAATATGGTGTAAATTTCTGCTGATAAATATTTCGGTAGATGCAAGATTGTAAATCAAAATTTGTCGGAGGCTTAGGCTTTGGTCGTAGGTGTTGATGCAAATTTTTTGTAGAGGTAGAAATACTGTATTTGAAAAATGTATAGTTAGGGCTATAAATTGTGGTGGGATGGATTAGAATATAATAGGGATAACTTTTTTTCATGGATTTTTATTTGGGGTAAGAAACAAAAAACCATAAAAATCAAAGGCTTGTTGGGCTCTCATACAAAATATCATTATAGGGCTACTACAAGGTGCTTAGGAAGTGGGATTTGCAGAGAGGTTGTTGTGGAGTGGTACGAGAAGAATAATAGGGTCGATCGATACAATTTGGATGGTGATAGGCGTCAGTCAATAGCTGTTTCGACTAAACATAGCAAAGAAAACTTTGAAACGGTGAGATATCGGTATTGAGGAGGATCTGCCACTTGTTACTAAGTAAAATACAAATACACATCTTAAAAAAGAAAGAAAATAAAACACTCCAAGAGCATAAAACAAAAAGTAAAGTCTCCGAGCACAATAGCATTAACAAAGATTATCGAAACAAAAAACAAACACAAATAGTCACCCAATAGGAAATATCTTAATTAGAAAAAAGAAATAGAAAATACTAGAAAAAAGAAAAAGAAAAAAGAAAAGAAAAACTAAAAAGAAATAAATACCAAAAAATTGTAAGCCGGGTGCGGCCACCTCTCCCACGATCCGCAATCCCGTGGATCACAACCCACGATAGCAAGAATTTCATATGTCGTGATTTGTGGCTTCCCACTCTGCATCATTCTCCCTAAATATAAGATGCATTTCCTTTTCTTTGGAAGGACCCGAATCTCACTGTCGAATGTTCTCCCTCACAAAACACTTAAGAAAATTTTCAAAGTTGTGGTTCATCACTTTTGTTTAGTCATTTGTCCATGGGTGCATTGTCGAACTAAACATAAACTTACTCTCGATTTATTCCATAGAAATTTCTAAAAATCACTCAAAATTTCTCATTTCTATATCAAATGATGATATGTTGAACCATCCTAAGCAGTGACAACCTAGGAGGAAGGTTGTATGTCAGACAATCCTGAAACCAACTTAGCTAGGGTTGACATGTGTTTGGTATCAGCTACTTGTCAATGTCATCTAGAATAACCAATGTTAATCTTGGTGGCACTTCTCTCACCGGCTCAGTCTGAAGGACCCATTAAATCACTAGCATCTACCCCTTATCGACCAGAAGTTGATAACATCATCATTCTCTTATGAGTCATTGTCAATTATTCAATTGTTCCATGCTCAATGATATAGATCATTCTCCTGTTTGGGCAATAAAAAATGAGACAACTAAATTAAAATATTAAAATTAATTTTACCTCATTAATGGTTGCACACGTCTTCTCTGGAGGTTTTCTCTTCTACCGTTCATCTTTTAATCACTTAAAATTTAGTTTAAATATAACAGTTAGCTAAACAAACCAGTGAATACTCGTACTTTTAAATTACAACAATACAAGGAAAAAAGAAGAACAATATGCATGTCAATTAAGCTTCTCTATGAATTAATATAAACATTTAACACGTTATTCAAAAGAATTTATATCATTAGCATATTAATATCATTTCATATCAATGAAACCATCACAGGAGGCCGTCTAAAAATTTGTGTCAATTAAGATACATCAATAACAATATCATTTTTCATCCAGATGCACGGGTACATTAGTATTCCTCCACTAATACTATCAAGCACTATTTCATCATAGTCAGTCATGCACATACAAACGTTCAACATTAATATATATATTCATCGCATTCAATCGTACTTTATAAAACAAACATTAAAATTCATGAATGAATAGCTACAATGTTCACAACGATGTGACTAATAAATAAAATAATAGCTCAATCAGAATAAAACATCCACAGATATCATTAACTGCAAACATATTTGAGAAGAAACAAATTATTAGTATAATTTAAAAGCACATGTACTCACCTAAAAGAAACTTAATTTCATAAATTTTTGCCCTGACGTCGACTCTTCTAAAATGGAAACCTAACATGCGTATTCATTTTATAAAATTTTAATTAATTATTAAATTTACATCATTTAAGTACTAAGTTTCCATTATTTTACTTCATAAAGAGGACCTAATTAAATACATTTCTTAAACTTTTCCTTACCTAAACTTGCTCAAGCAAATCTTCATCTTCTCTAGTTCATATTAAAAAGAAATAAGGATACATATAGATTGTGTGGAAGGGCCCAAACATGACACCCTTCCCCCATGATAACCACCACATACAAATGGTTCCAAAAAAAAAAAAAATGCAGAAAATTACAAGAGACCTAAAAAAACAAAAAATGCCAAAAAAACGTAATATCAGGTAGCTAGAGAGCGACCCAATTTTGCTTTGCCTCTGCCTCTAATTTTAGGAAAGGAGCCAGCTAATAAATTGGTAAGATGAGTGTCATTGCCAGTAGTGACCAAAGTATCATCCAATAAGTTCCCAAGCTCGAGTCGGCCTCCAGTTTTCTTCTTTCTCCTAGAATAGACTTGTCATTCCTCATCCGAAGATTGACTCGCCTGATCAGTAGATTGGTCTAAAATGTGTCGGACATGTGTAGGATGTTGAACATTAGAAATAACTGCTTGCTATACTAGCTGATCTTTGATTGAATCAAAGAAGCACTCTCATGTGTTTTGACATGCAAGTGAGTCTTCTTCAATAATAGTGAGTGATATAAGCACTTTTCGATAGATATCTGTAGTATGATGTTCTTCATTAGGAACTACGATGTTGGGTAGAGGATCGATTTGCACCTTCTCAGCAGGGTGTTGGCTATTTTTTTTCTTTGAAAATAAGATTTTAAAATTTAAATTTAATATAATATATAATGTAATTTTAATTTTGTGAAAATGATATATTTTTTTTATTTTTGGAAAATTATAAGACCGGACATACCTCATATATGTAATAATTTAAATAGCTCAGCACGATACCATAAATGATATATCATCTCGAAGGATGAACGTATCACTTATCGGTATGCTTAACTTCAAAACTTAAAAGTTTATGACTCTATTTTGATCTGCGAAATTTATAACTGACAAATTCCCCTACCTAATACACACAGAGTTCAGATTAATCTGGGTTATTAATTTCCTATAGAGGCAAACCCTATAGTTAATTACATCTTAGACAACCGAAGTCTCATAAGAAAACTCTCGATTAAAATTAGGATTTCGTCTTCAAGAATTCAACTTTTAGGTTTCCACAATTGTTTATAGGAAAAGCCAAATGGGATAGGTTCAAATAGGAACAGTTATTTCCGAAATCCAAAAGAGCGAAGAGTAGGAGATGTCGAAGATGCCGAATAAGATTCAGTGACATTTCAAACTAACCTATGGTTTGACTTTACATCTTTGAAAGAAATTATTTGATGTTTTAGTCTTGCAAATTATTTAAATATTCGGGACTTGTGCCTGCATGTCATATGCAAATAGCCCGAGAAAATATGAGGAATTATTTCGTATCAGACGACTATCTCGGAATCCTAAAAATTTAGGACTTATATAGTACGATATAAAATCGTAGAAAGTCCTAAAAGATAGTGTGAGGATTTACGTCGTACTAG